TTGTTCAAATAATTGTTATGGGCAGGTTACAATATAAAAAATGTTTGTCATAATCATGTTTTGTAATTATTTGACAGGAGTTTTACTTTGAAACTGTGTATTTAATTTAGTTATAATGCAAACACAATAAAAATTAAACTAAGATTGATAATAATTATCATTTTCATTCATACATTGGTAATGTCTGACTGGGCCTCGTGTCACTTTATGTTCAACAATTGGGCCGTGAGGTCAAAAAGGTTAAGAACTCCTGCTCTAGAACACATTAAAACAAAAGCAATTTATATAAAACAGTTTTACAACAGAACAGCTCCATCTAGTGGACAAACACCGTCACTGCATCAAAACATGAGGAGGTTTTTACCATGTAGTCCGAGGAGGCGATGAACTCCACCGTGGAGTTCTGGACCTCGGGCCTCTTGTGTGGCTCCCCGTAAGACCTCGTCACTGGGTTGTACATAAACTCATCTGGTACTAAACAAACAGAGTAAAAAAAACTGTAGAGAGAAAAAAAAAAACAAGAATTTAAAGCTAAATATTATTTATAGTCTGATACCGTCGTTGACCCGATAGCAGAGGTTGCACTTCCACCGGCGCTGGTCCAGAAAGGTGACRAACGGGTTGATGTAGGTGCGGCAGGAGCGGCAGCGGACGATGGTGTTGGAGGTGATGACCGGCAGCTGCTGCAGAGACGAGGACGGAAAAAGGTTCAGTGTTTTTAATAAAAACAATCCTCCGTTTACGCTTCAGCAGCTGATTAAAGACGCCTTAGTTTCCACGCTCCGGAGGAACGAAAACTTTGACCTGAACATCAGATTTATTGTTTGTTTTCTGGAGGACTTCCTGGTGAAGAGCCTCAGCTGGTTCAACAGAGACCTGAGAAATTCTGTTTTATTTGACCTGAAAACTACAGAGAAAATAACGGTTTTTATAAAAGTACCTGAAACAGGAAGAGARGGTTGACGAGAGCTACTTTCTTGTAAATAATCCTGAGTATCTGATGTTTATTCTCTAAAACGAGGTAAAAACAAAGTGTTTAAATGTGCTGAGCAGAATAATTATAGTTAACTAAAACTAACTAAAAAATGAAAATTGAAATTGAAAAAACATTTTATTTAACTAAAATAACTAAAAACTAATAAAATGAAAAAACGACAACAAACTGTATAATCT